CCAACACTTCTTTTTTAAAAATATGGAATGCTTCACAAATTTGTGTGTCATCCTTGCGCAGGGGCCATGCTAATTTTCTCTGTATTGTTCCAATTTTAGTATCTGTGCTGCCGAAGTGAGCACTCACCAACACTTCTTGTTTTCTGTTTTTATTTCTTTTTTTTTTTTTGTGGTACGCGGGCCTCTCACTGTTGTGGCCTCTCCCGTTGCGGAGCACAGGCTCCGGACGCGCAGGCGCAGCAGCCATGGCTCATGGGCCCAGCCGCTCCGCGGCATGGGGGATCTTCCCGGACCGGGGCACGAACCTGTGTCCCCTGCATCGGCAGGCAGACTCTCAACCACTGCGCCACCAGGGAAGCCCTTGTTTTCTGTTTTTTGATAGTGGCCATGCTGATGGGTGTGAGGTGGTGTCTCGCTGTGCTGTTGATTCGCGCTCCCTGATGATCAGTGATGCTGAGCATCTTGTCATGTGCTTGTTGGCCATGTGTGTGTCTTCTTTGGAGAAAGGTCTATCAAGTTCTTTGCCCAGTTTTTGAATTAGGTTGTTTATTTATTTATTTATTTAAATAAACCAATTATTTATTTATTTATTTATTTATATTTTTGGCTGTGTTGCGTCTTTGTTTCTGTGCGAGGGTTTTCTCTAGTTGGGGCAAACGGGGGCCACTCTTCATCGCGGTGCGCGGGCCTCTCACTATCGCGGCCTCTCTTGTTGCGGAGCACAGGCTCCAGACACTCAGGCTCAGTAGTTGTGGCTCACGGGCCTAGTTGCTCCGCGGCATGTGGGATCTTCCCAGACCAGGGCTTGAAGCCGTGTCCCCTGCATTGGCAGGCAGATTCTCAATCACTGCGCCACCAGGGAAGCCCTGGGTTGTTTATTTTTGGTGTTGAGTTGTAGGAGTTCTTTACATTTTCTGGGTATTAATTGCTTATCAGATATAAGATTTGCAAATATCTTCTCCCATCCTGTGGGTTGCCTTTTCTCTCTGTTGATGGTGTGCTTTAATGCACAATGATATTTACCTTATACTTTGGTTATAACCCAATACGACTTGATTTATTTTCTTTTTCACATTGTTCCAGCTTTGGCTCCTGGAAACTCTGTCAGGTGGCTGGGTTTACTTTCTTTATTCTTCTAATTTTATTGAGGTATAACTCACATACAGCACTGTATAAGTTTAAGGTGTATAGCATAATGACTTGACGTACATACATCATGAACATGAACCACAAGTTTGGTGAACATCCATCATCTCATATAGGTACAAAATTAAAGAAATAGAAAAAAAATTTTTTCCTTGTGATGGGAACTCAGGATTGACCCTCTTAACGACTTTCATATATAACATACAGTGTTAATTACATTTACCATGTTGTGCATTACATTCATAGTACTTATTGTTCTTATAACTGGAAGTTTCTACCCTTTGACTGCCTTCCTCCAATTCCTCCTCCTCCTACCTGGGTTTACCTTTTTTTTTAATTAACAAAAAATTTATTTATTTATTTGGTTGCGCTGGAGCTAAGGCTCCTTAGTTGCAGCTCGCCTGCTCGTTAGTTGTGGCATGTGGGCTCCTTAGTTGCGGCATGCAGACTTCTTAGTTGCGGCATGCAGACTTCTTAGTTGCAGCATGCATGTGGGATCTAGTTCCCTGACCAGGGATCCAACCAGGGCTCCCTGCATTGGGAGCGTGGAGTCTTAGTCACTGCACCACCAGGGAAGTCCCGGGTTTACCTTTATTATGTTACTTTCTGCTTCCTAGTTATGCTGCCTTTATTTTATTTTTTATTTTTGGCTGCACCATGCAGCCTGCTGGACCTTAGTTCCCTGACCAGGGATTGAACCCATGCCCTTGGCAGTGAGAACACAGAGTCTTAACCACTGGACCTCCAGGGAATGCCCCCCTATGCTGCCTTTCTTATACTTCCTTCTCCCTTCCTATATCCTATTAGGTTCATTACGTTTTCTTTAGTCTTTTTCCTTCCATAGATGTGGAAGTTATACAACCTATTTCTAGTCTTTTAGTGGTTATCTTAAGAGTTTCACATTACTTTTTTTAAAAAATAAATTTATTTAGTTATTTATTTGTGGCTGTGTTGGGTCTTCGTTGCTGCGCATGGGCTTTCTCTAGTTGCGGCGAGCGGGGGCTACTCTTCGTTGCGGTGCGCAGGCTTCTCATTGCGGTGGCTTCTCTTGTTGAGGACCTCGGGCTCTAGGCGCTCAGGCTTCAGTAGTTGTAGCACACGGGCTCAGTAGTTGTGGCTCACGGGCTCTAGAGCGCAGGCTCAGTAGCTGTGGCACATGGGCTTAGTTGCTCTGCGGCATGTGGGATCTTCCCCAGACCAGGGCTCGAACTCGTGTCCCCTGCATTGGCAGGTGGATTCTTAACCACTGCACCACCAGGGAAGTCCCCACATTACATTTTAATCTCAAGCACTAGCCCTGGCCATTTCCTGAACACTACCGGATCTTACACTTGCATCCCTACCCTCTTCCATGGTTGGTGGTCCAGGGTTTGGGTTTCTTTGACACCCCTTGCTCAGGGTGAGCTGCCCCCAAGCAAGCCCTGTGACAACGGCTCAAGATGGGGGCACGCAGCCTTTCCGTGGGCACAGGAAGTAAGAATGGACAGAAGGGGGCAGTCCCAGAGCTGGGCAGGGGGCTTTGGGCAGGGGGCTCAGTCCACCGGGACCTGGGAAGACTGTGTCACGTGCAGCCCTGTCACCCGCGAGCGAGGAGGCTGGGGGGCTGCGGCACAGCCCAGGTGCCAGTGCCCACGTGGCTGCCCCAGCTGGCCGAGTGAACCTCAGGCGGAGGCTGCGGAAAGAAGGGAGGGATCTGAGAAGCTCCGTGCCTAGCCACGCCCCGCCCCGCTATGCTCCAGCCCCTCGAGGGAGCCCCCGGCCCAGCCGTGCTCGCCTGATTCCTGCCAGCACTGCCACCAGGTCCCTCTGTCCACCCAAGTCAGGCTCAGCTTCATCTCAGCTGGGTCAGCTGCAGCCCTCCTGGGTGGTCGGCCTAGTGGCCACGGCGGGAGGGGGGCCTGAGGGGGACAAATGTTGGCTCCAGTTGGGGCGTGGCCTGTGCACTGTGCTCCCCTGGGGTGGCAGTTCCGGGCCCAGCCCTTCACAGGGAGAGCCGAGCAGGACCTGAAGGCCAGAATTCCAGAGGAGGGGGTATCAACCACCCTGACATCCCGCCTACATGTCAAGGCCCCTGCTGTCCCACCAGGGCTCGACTTTGATGGGCAACAGGTGTCATTGAAGGTCAGCCACTCTGACACTCAAGTCCTGGGCTTGGGACTGCGGTTCTCTGCCCTCCCTCCACTGCCTGGGGGAGCAGAGACCTGTAGGCAACCAAAGACCCAGCGCTCAGCACAATAACACCCGGCGTTCACACCCACTCCCACGGTCACACCCAACCCACGTTCACACCCATGTTCACACCCACACCCACATTCACGCTCACACCTACTCACACCCACACCCACACCCACGCCCATGTTCACACCCACGCTCACACCCACACCCACGCCCATGCTCACACCCACGCTCACACTCACCCTGGCTTTCAAGTCCCCACTCCTGACCCACCCTCCACCTTGGTGACTGTGTGGAGCTTCATGTGTGGGCACCAGCCACTGGGCCTCTCATCCCCTTCCAGTGTGACCCACCGCAGGGACAATCCCCATGCCTGGCGCCTTGTGGCATCTGGGCAGCGAGGGACCCATCTCCAGAGCCCATCTGGTTGCACCCTGGGTTGTCCGGAAGCAGCCCCCGAGGTGGGGTGTGGGGTACAGGCCATGGGCTAGGGGTAAAGTCCAGCTGTCCTGCAGGAAGCCTCGGGCCAGCCAACAGGCTCTGGAATGAGCACCCTTCAGAGTGTCCCACATGGGGCCACAGTGGTCGGTGAGCTGGGTCTGCACCTGAGGCTCCCCCGGAGGTGTGGGGCTTGCAGTGTCTTCTTACTGGGGACCCCCAGTGTCTGTGGGTCTCTTCTCTTCTCTGGGAGAGGATGACTGGTCTGCACCGTGTGTGTATGGGGGCACTGAGGGAGGGGCCAGGGCCCCCCTGCTGCGCACATGAACTTTCCTCTCCCCCTGGCCTGGGGTTTCGGTCTGCGAGTTCAGCCGTTCTCTTAGGGAACCCATGGTTCCGTCCAGATCCGCCTGGAGAACACACCGTGTGCCCTGCCGTGGGGTAGGGCGGCCCTGGGGGCCTGTGCACAGATGCCCAGGTGCTGGAAGCACACTGCTCTGGCCTTCCTGGGTCCCCGCCCTTGGTCACCCTCTGACCTGATTAGGGCTCTGCAGAGAAACAGACCAATGGGAGAGAGCGGGAGGGACGGAGACTGACTTATTTTAAGGAACTGGCTCATGTGGTTGTGGCTTGTCCAGCAGCTAGAGACCCAGGGAGGAGCTGAGGCTGCAGCTCAGGGCCAGAGGTTGTGTACAGCAGGACTCCTCCTTCCTGGCGACCTCAGGCTTTTCTCTTAAGGCCTTCCACTCTTCGGATGAGACCCACCCACATTATCAGGGTCATCTGCTTTACTCAAATCTACAGACTTCCATGTTAATCACATGGAAAAAACCCTTCATGACCCCCACGTTCACTGCAGCATTATTCACAGTAGCCAAGAGGTGGAAGCAACCTAAATGTCCATAGATTGACGGATAAACAAAATGTGGTCTATTCATCCAATGAAATATTATTCAACCTTAAGAAAGAAATTCTGACACCTGCTAAAACAGGGATGCACCTAGAGGACATGATGCTGAGTGAAATAAGCCAGACACAGAAGGACAAATACCGTCTGATGCCACTCATACGAGGTCCCTAGGGGAGTCAAATCCGTAGACAGAAAAGCAGGAGGGTGGGTGCCGGGCTGGGGAGTGAGTGTTTAATGGCGACAGAGTTTCGGTTTGGGAACACGGAAAGTTCTGGAGATCTACTGCCTAACAAGGCCCGTATAGTTTACGCTACTGAACTGCACACTTAAAAATGGTTAAGATGGTTAATTTTATGTTTTGTGCTTTGTACCACAAACAATAAAGACCAAACGAAAAGACTGTGGTTCATGACAGATGTTCAGTATACGTTAGTTCCCTTTTCTGAGTAACATTTTATGCTAATTTCACCACTGTAATCAATACATATATGAAAAAACACACCCTTCACAGCAACGCCTAGACTAGCGTTTGGGCAAACACCTGGGCTTGTAGCCTGGCCAACGGGATGCAAAACTGACCCTCACGCCCTCCTTCTCCGCAGGCCCTTGCCCTCCCCGCACCCCCTGCCCCACTGCCATCGTGCGGCAGCCCCCACCAGCCTTCTTCTCCTCCAGCTGTGGTCCGGGTGTAGAGATGCGACTAATTTCCTTGAAATGGTCTGGGGATTTTTGAGGGAAGGGGTGGGAAAATCTTTTCTCACCGTCACAAAGCCTGAAGCCACGGCCCGGAGCAGCCAGGACAAAGGTAGGGCGCCCAGAGCCGGCTTCTTCTTCTATCCTGGCCCGGGGCCGCTGGCCCGGTGCCCGCTGGAGCCATTTTGTCCCCGTCAGCACGGATATTGCAGGCTCAGCAGCTGTCCTGGGCCTCAGCAGGAAATGTCCCTGTGGCTTCCGTATTCTAGCAGGCAGAGGGCCAGCCCGGCCGGTGGGGTACAGGGCATACCTCGCCTGCTAGATTCGTCAGGTGGCCATGGGGCCGAGGCAGATGTGTGTCGGCGTGCGTGACCCTGGGGGCCATGCACGGGGGTGAAGGGAACTAGTGGGGGCCTGTCTGTGACCATCGCTGGGGGGGGGATGGGAGGAGCCCCCTCAGCTCCAGCTTGTAATCACAGACCTCCGAGCGCCGTGGCCAGGCCAGCAGGTCACTGCCCGGATGGGAGCACAGGGACCTGGGCCCGGAGTCGGGAGCCAGAGCCGCCGCCCCGGGTCGGGGTGGCAGCGGGGGTGTGTGTCTGAGGGCTGAGCGCACATAGGCAGGGGTGTGTGTGCCGCTGTGGCGTCCTGTTACTAAACAGCCAGGCCACGGGGCTCCCTCGGGAGCCAGCTTTGCTCTTCTGAGGGGAAGGGGGTCAGGTTTCCCTGAGAATAGCCCCTGACCGCCCAGAGGACACCTGGCTTGGCCTCCCCATGGCCAGTCCAGCCCCCTGGTCCCGTCTGCTCTGCATCCTCTCGCCCCTAGCTCGTGGCCAGCTGTCTTCTCCTGGGACTGTGGACCCCCAGCCCCTTCTGCACACGGTGGCCCGAGGGGGACCCCAGTGCATTTGTTTATTGAACCTGTCTTTAGAGGGTGTCTGCAAAGTGCTGGCACCATGCTGGGCCCTGGGTCCTTGGGGATGTGAGGGCAACACCTGGCCAGGGAGGGCCGTCAACAAGAACCCTCACCAAGAAGTGATGACAGCCCGTGGGGCCTCCCGCTGCACAGTGGGGGGAAGGGGCTCACTGGGGAGAAGGGAACATCCCCTCTCCTGCCCTGGCCCATGATGTCCATCCTTGCCGTGGCCCAGGGGGGCCTTGGCTGGGACCCAGGGTCAGAGAGGGAGCTCTGGGGTGAGGGGCTGCTCAGGCCAGGAAGGGCCACGTGGGGAAGGGCCAACCTGTCCCAAAATAGGGCTGACAGGATCTCCTGGCCATAAAAGGCTCTTGGAATCTGGACCCCAGGGACCCCGGGCAGCTGGATACGCTAAAACTCAGCCGCCCCCTCTGCCCCTTGTACTCTGCCCACAGCAGCTCCAGCGCCACCGTGCAGTGTCCCCTCAGCCAGCCACAGACATGGTAAGGCTGCTCCCAGCGCCCGGCAGAGCCCCCGGCGGGCTGGGCTGGGCGGTCCAGCAGGAGCTGGGCAGTGCCTGGGGGAGAGAGGACGGCGGGCAGGCCTCTGCGCACACGGGGATCAGGCTGGGGCCGTGACCAAAGGTGGGAGGGTCTCTGGGGACCTGAGGAAGACGTCCAGTGAGGCTGGGCAGAGAGCGTGGAGTGGGGGGCCCGAGGCCAGGCCCTGCCGGCCACTGGCACCGCCCTTGCTCTGGGGCCCAGGCTGGAGCAGCCCTTTCGGAAAGCGGCCGGGGCGGTGGCAGGCAGGGTGGCCCGGCCCTGGATTATCGCTCTGGGATACCAGAACAGGCTGGGGCCTTCCCCCTGGCCCCCAGGCCAGGCTCCTCCCCACGCTGGCCATGGTGTCCCTCCCCTGGCCTCACTGGCTGTCCAGCGCTGCCCCACTGCACTCTCACGTGGCTGGCCTGCCCCTGCCTCGAACGCCGTCCCCTCTGAGTGGCCTCGCGGAGCCTTGCTCTCCCCTCAAGACCCATTCCTGTGCCGCCTGGCCTCCAGCCTCCCCCAGACTGAGGGGTGGAGGGGCCCCTGGCGAGCCTGGACCCGTGTCCCCACAGACGGAGCGCCTGACGGCGGAGCAGATCGAGGAGTACAAGGGAGTCTTTGAGATGTTTGATGAGGAGGGCAACGGGGCGGTGAAGACGGACGAGCTGGAGCGGCTCATGAGTCTGATGGGCATCAACCCCACCAAGAGCGAGCTGGCCTCCATGGCCAAGGAAGTGGACAGAGACAGTGAGGCCGCCAGGGGCAGCGGGGGGGGGCGCATCACCGGGGTGTGAGTGGGGAGGGGCTCACCGCCCTCACTCGGGCACCCGCCGCTTGCTCCCCGCAGAGAAAGGGTTCTTCAACTGCGACAGCTTCCTGGCGCTGATGGGGGTGTACTGGGAGAAGGCCCAGAACCAGGAGAGTGAGCTCAGGGCGGCCTTCCGCATCTTCGACAAGGAGGGCAAGGGCTACATCGACTGGGACACGCTCAAGTAGGGCCCGGGGCCGGGCTTGGGCGCGGGCGCGGGGGCGGAGGGAGGGCCCGCTGGCTGCCACTCAGCGCAGGCTCCTGCAGGTACGTGCTCACGAACGCGGGCGAGCCCCTCAGCGAGCTGGAGGCCGAGCGGATGATGCAGGAAGCCGACAAGGATGGGGACGGGACCATAGACTACGAGGGTGAGTGGGAGATGGGCCCCGGGAGCCCGGCGGCCGGGTCAGGCCAGGCTGCCTACTTGTCCCTCTGCTCTCAGAGTTCGTGGCCATGATGACTGGGGAGTCCTTCAAGCTGGTCCAGTAGGAGCAGCCACTGCGGCCGTGGGAAGCCCGCTGCCTGCTGCCATCACCCTGCTGCCCACCCTGTCATCCACCCCACGCCGGCTCCGTGGCCAATAAACGCTCCAGCCAGACTCGTGTGTGCTTCACTGTCCCAAGGCTGGAAAAAGGGGCTGCAAAGCTGCGGGTCTGGAGAAGGGAGAGGGTTCTCCTGAGCTGCCCATCACACTTGGGCCATCACTTCTGTGGGATACCTGACACTGCCTACAGCCCAGCTCTGGGCTCCGGACACCAGCTGGAAGGCCAGGCTGGGCATAGGTTGAGGACCACGTACTCACACTGCCTGCCTGCCCTGGGAGGCGGCTGCCCCAGGGCCCCTCCCGGAGCTCTTTCCTCCATATGGAGATCACTTAGATAGAAACTTTATTCTCTCTCTCTCCAAAAAGCTGTAGACATCACAGCAGGCCCTGAGCCCTGAGGCTTAGGTCTGTGGGGCCTCATCTGGGCTGAGGGCCTGCTGGGCCTGAGCCAGGGGCCAGGGCTGAACGTAGCAGCGTGTGTGTGTGTGTGTGTGTGTGTGTGTGTGTGTGTGTGTGGCCAACACAGGGCCGGCTGGCTCAGATGCCCAGCGTTACATAGCAACGAGGCCAGGGCTGCAGCAATGTGCCGGACGGCTGGCCTTCCCGGGTGGGAAGGATGGTGAGGGTGGGCTGGGGTGCCCTTGCACAGTCCCCTGTGAGCACAGAGTGGCTGGTGGCATCGGGAGGCTCGGGAGAGCTTTCCTGCCTGCTCCGGGGGGCACCAGGGCTACAGCCAGGGGTGTTGGGCATTGCGGCCCCACTCCTGGGGCCCTGGAGGGGTCTCTAGGCATGAGGCCTCAGGGAGGGGGCTGGGCTACTGGGAAGGGGGTGGCTCTTCCTGTCTGGTTTTAGCCATCTTGACGGCCTCATCGTATGAGGGCGGCAGCTCAGGGGCATACAGGCTGTAGGCGGGAGGGGTCACAGAGTCGAGGTCCAGCTCCCCCAAGGGCAGGGGCAGCCGCATGCCCAGCGGGTACTGCACAGAGCTGTAGGCTGCAGGGAACCAGAATGGGTTTGTGGCGACCAGTGGCTCTGGCCCTCACCAGTCCCCTGCCGCCCCTTCAGGCAGGTGGGCCGCCGGGCGAGGTCTGCCGGCACTCACATGACACAGTGCTGTGCATGGGGCTGTCGCTGTCCGCGGGGATGGCTGTCAGGTCGCAGGACTCAGGTGCTGATGGCAGGTGTGGCTGGGCGTGCGCCCGCTTCCGGAGACAGCAGAAGCGGACACAGCTGGCCGTGGCCCCACACAGCAGCAGTAGGAGCACAGCAAGCAGGAGGAGCCTGGGCAGGGGGGCGACATCTGCCGCTGGACCGACCCCTGGCCGCTGGGCGCCTGCTCCCTGGGGGCAGTCACAGCCCGGTTGCCCAAGACAAGGCGATGGATAGGGTAAAAGACAACCAGGGACTCTGTCTCCAGGCCGGAGACCTCCTCCCGGCCCGGCCTGGCCTCCTGCTGCTGGCCTGCCCTGGCTGTCTCTCCAGGGCTGGCCACAACTGGCCTTGGGCTTACTCCCAGGACACGTTGTCCCAGACCGACTGCACAGTCCTGTGCCCAGACCAATGACCATGTTCACAGGGGCCTCCCACAGGGGCGGGGAGCGAGGGAGTGGGAGGTGGGCAAGCAGGCTACAAGGGAAGTCCTGCCCAGGGCCCCGGGGGTGTCCCTAGCCATGGGGGACTCAGGCAGGACCCACGCAGGAGGTCGCCCCTGGTGCTGGGGGAGGAGGCTGGGGTCGGCATGCCAGGCTCTGAGGGCCCCAGCGCCTTCCCGCCAGCGGCCCAGGAGGGGGACAGTGCTGGCGACGCCTCGGCCGTGGAGCCAGGCGGGGTGGGGGTCTGGTGGGCCTGGCCCGGGGGAGAACCGTCGCACCCGGCTGCGCGCCGCGGCCTTCACTTACCCCACGTGCCACAGGCTGCTCCAGCGGGCCTGGGGCGGGCACCTGCGGGGACGGGGGCACTTGGAGCAGGCGAGGCAGGGCCCGGCCGACCGCCCTGCCCGAGCCTCCCCCAGGGTGGGGCCAGGCCCCAGCTCCCTCCCCCCCGCCCCCACTTACTGATCCGAGGGGTCGCAGCTGCCTTCCGCGAAGCCCAGCGCCACCTGTGGGGACAGGGATGAGCCCGGGCCAGGGCGCGCCGAGCGCAGACCCGCGCCGAGCGCCCCGCGACCCACCTGCGGCAGCGGCAGGAGCGGCGGCAGCAGCAGGAGCCCGCGGTCACCTGGCGCGCCAGCGAACATGCTCAGCGCCGACTGGAAGCGCGAGCCCACTAGCCTCGAGGCTTTATGGAGGCCCCGCCCCTAGGCCCTCCCAGCGCAAACCCCGCCCCCGAGACCGCGCCCATTGGAGGGCTCGCCCTGTAGCCGCGCCCATGTGCCTCGCCCCTACCCTCCGCCCAAGGTTAGCCTCGCCCTTTAGCGGCCCCGCCCCCGCAGGCTCTGGGCAGGCCCTAGATTCCCCCACTCCACGGCCCCGCCCACACAAGCCACGCCCACAAGCCCCACCTCTTGGCCCTCCCATCAGGTCCGTTTTCTCTGTGTTTCCTCAGCCTAGGATCGCGGGGTGGGGGGCGGTCTCGCCCCGTTGGCTTCTTGCAGTCGGGCTTGGGGTGGACCGGGGCGCACCCTGAACAGCTGTGGCCCGGTCTGCACAGGGTGTGGCCTCGGAGAGTGGCGGCCAGGACACACGTGGCCACGCCTCGCACACACCCCGGTGCTCAAGGTAAGGGTTGCAGCAGTCAAGACGCTGGGGCGTTCCTAGCGCGCTGTTCAACTACATTTAGTGTGCACGCTCGCTGCGGGCGCTCGCTGCCCCTCTGCCTTCCGCTCCGCCATCCGGCGCTCAGGCTGAGGGAGGTGGTCAGCACGGCAAGGTGCAGGGTGGTGTGTCTTATCTGGGGAGGGTGGGAGGAGAAGCTACCCTGCCGTGTTTTTCTTCATTGCACTCAGGACGTACTCCACAAACATCTCCCCACTGGAGGGGAAGTGACTGCAGCTCCTTGAGGGCAGGGCCTCCTTGGCTTGGCTCTCTCATGCCTGGATCTGCCAGCTACCTGCTCCATGATCTCTGCTCTGCCTCTGTCCTGCAGCTGTCCAGCACCTCCTGGCTGTACTATGGTCCTCAGGGCCCCTCCTGACTACCCTCTTCCTCCATTCTGCTTCGGAGGCCCGGCTCAGGAGTGGGAGGGAGGGGGATGGGCACTGGTCCAGCCAGCAGGCAGGAGTGCAGGCAGGGCCTTGGGCAGTGAGTACCAGGGTCCGCTGGTTCTAAACCCTGAGAGCCAGGCCAGGGTTTAGAGGAGAGTGGCCTGCCCCTCCCACGGGCCAGCCTGAGGGGGAGGCAGGGGTAGTGCTCTGCAGGGAGGACTTCCTTCTGGGGCCTGGCCTGGGCTGCAGGACCCTGGCTTCTCTTCTCACCTAGTGAGAAAGCAGCCCCTGTGAGGTCTAGGAAAGGACCTGGGTCTGCCCACCAGACTGAAGTCCTGCAAAATGCTGCTCTGTGGACACCGTCACTGGCTCAAGGTTAGGGAGATGGCAGACTTCCAGGCACCAAGGGCACTGAGGAAGTGGGGTGAGGGCTCCAGGCTGGTGTCCTGAAGCCTGTGCCCAGGAAATTCCCCGGATGCACCTTGCCCTCCACTCCTGCCAGGGAAGGCTGCGAGTGCTCGCCTGGGGGAGGCACGGGGGTGGCGTGGGCGGGCTGGGCGTGCTGGGGTGTACACAGGGGGCCTGGATGGGTGGGCTCTGTGGGGACAGTGTCTAACCTGCCACTCTCCAGAAGGCAGGGGCTGGGTGCAGGCACTATTCTGGGCTCCCAACAGGGTCTCATGGGCTGGGAGTTGGGGGCTTCTCCCTTGAAGAGCTGGTCAGGACCCAGAAGGCTGAGCCCAGACTCACTTCGGAAAAGTGGAAAACCAAACTCATGGGCTGGGTGTCCCCCGGACCCTGGCTGGGCTGTGAGGGACGACACAGTGAGGGCGTGTCCCCGACATTTGCTCGCTCCTTGCTTGGGGGCATCAGGGACCCTGGAACTTGGGAGGAGCAGGGAGGCCTAAGGGGCCGCCTGGGCTTTGGAGCCTGCCGCCCCCTCCCTCCCCGCCGGCCTCTCTGGGTGTGGAGCCCCGCAAGCCGCCCCCCTCCCCCCCGGCACGCCCAGTTGTTCCCCCAGGGCTCAGTCTTCCAGGCCGAGTTCACTGTTTTATGGACCGACTTGTGAGTGAGGGTGGGAAGCAGGGGCTGCCCCCCTGGAACTCTGTCCCCATCTCTCCTTCACAGCTCACTGCAGGGCTCACCGTGGCCCACACTGCAGGCCTGGATGCACAGGTTCACACAGGATTTATTGACAGGTCGGCGGGCGCAGCTCTTCCCCCCACCAGGACCTTGAAAGGCTGGGCGGGTGCTGGTGGGGCTGGGGGCTCTGAGGGGCTCAGGCTGGGAGCAGGTTGTGGTCAGGACTGGCCTCATTGCCTGTTCTGAGTGTGGGGCTGGGACAGGAGCTCTTGGCCCCGGGCTCACTGGATACAGGGCAGCAGGAGGTGGCCGTGCCTGTGGAGGTGGGGTGCCCCAGCCATGGGGCCATGCGGGGGGCCACCCTTTTGAAGCTGCCCAGCAGGGATGTCCAGGTCCCAGGCCCCTGGTTGGCTCTGCTGGGTCCACAGACCGGGGGAGGGCTTCAAATGTGGCAGGAAGATCCGAGGGGGCTCTATGGAGAGACTCCTGTGGCCTCAGGGGCCCGTCACCACCTGCGCTACAAAGAGGACCTTGTAGGTCTCCTTCACGTCCCCCCTGAGCTGCAGCAGGGCTGACACCATGAGTGGGTGGTCCGGCTGGAAGGGGAGAGGCGGGGAAGGAGGGGGACGCTCGGTCAGCTGGCACAGCGGACAGGTGTTTTCTGGCCATGGCGCTGCCCACCTCACCTGCCCAGGGCCCCCCCGCAGTCCCCTCCCTGGGTGGGGGCAGGGCTGTCATCCTGCCCAGCTTGTGGCTTTTGAAGGCTCCCTGGCCGCCGTCCAAGGCACCTACATCAAAGTCGATGGGTGGCATCCAGGAGATGCTGATGGTCTTGGTCTGGCCGCGCTCCACAAAGCCCTTGGAGGGCTCGATGGTGAAGCCCTTGTGCTGCAGGGATACGACGCTGTCCAGGCTGAACTCGACAGTCTGCAGGCATTGGTGCTGTCAGCAGGTGGGTGGGCACAGCTCCCGGGGAAGCGGCGGGACTGGGGATGAGGGAGCCCAGCACCTGCCCTCTCAGCCCTGACCAGCAGGCTGCCCACCCCACACCTATCAAGGGGCAAGGCCAGGAGGGGCCTGGGTTGCCCAGGCAGTGGTGGATGCAGAGGTGCCAGGCAGGCCAGGGAAGTGCTGTGGTCACCTTCTTTGGGGACAGCTGGGTGGTCCGGATGCAGCCCACCTGTAGTTCTCGGGTGGCAGGTGGGGCCGGCGTGTCTGTGTCCAACTGGACATAGGCCAGGGTTACCAGGATGGGCTTCAGCTCCTCAGCTTCTGGAGAGGGAGGGCCTGGCTGGGGGCTCAGGGAAGGGGGGGTACCACCAAGGGAGTGTGGGAGCTGGGTCTGGCAAGGATAGTGGGCGGGGCTGGGCGAGGACAGCCGGCTTTGGGGGATGGGCCGGGAATGCCAGCCCTGCACGCAGGCCTCCAGAGCCAAGGGTGCGGTCAGAACAGGACTGGTCCTCCTACTGCCGCCCCGCCCTGCTGGGGCTCCCAGCACTTCAGAGGGCTCACCCTCTGTGCGCTCGGGGTGCAAGGCAGGGATCACGGTCAGGGACTCCACAGGCACATCCAGGGGGTCCCCGCCTTCCACAAACATCATGTACTTGCGGGCCGAGCCCTTCAGGAGGATCTGGTGGGAGATTTCCTGGGGGCAGGAGCACAGCAGACTCAGTCCGCGACCCGCGAATGGGGCTCCGGGAGTAGGCAGTGGTGGGGTGCAGGCCTGTGGGACCCAGGACTCTGATCTCTCCACCTCATGACCCCCAACCTGACGCAGAGCCCCCAGGCAACAGGACTCCAATGTGGGGCCGTTTGGGGGAGGGCGAGGGCCTCAGACATGCGGACGCAGGCGGGTTGGGCCGGGAGCAGGGGTCCAGGCTGGGCTCCTGGAGCCGCACCTTTTCGAAGAGCACGACCTGAAGCCGGTCAGAGAAGTACAGGCTCTCATGGTCCGGGCTGAAGGTCACGGTGAAGTCCTGCGCCCTGCCCGGCTCCATGACGCCCTCCACCGGGACCACGCTGAACACGCTCTGGCCGCTGTAGTTCTGTGTGCCTGGGGGCAGGGCGGCCTGGCAGGTCCGGCTCCCCCCGCAGTGCCCAGCACCCCCCAACCCCGCACCCCCACGCCCCGCACAGTCCCGTGCCAGTCCCCTGCCAGCAGCGGTCACCCCCCCAGCCGGCCAAGCTCACCCACGACTTCCGTCCTCTGGGCCGGGGAGGCCAGGAACTGCGGCAGCCGGTGCTCGCCTCCGCTCCTGGTGGAGAGGCTGTCCAACTGCATGGAGAACTTGATGGGCAGCGGGGAATTATTTTGCAGCTGCAAGGAGCAGGGCTCAGTCACTGGACCAGCTGGACTGGCCAACCGATGGATGGGCTGCTGCAACCAGGTCTCAGCTCCCTCTGCTGCCCCGGGCCACACCCTGGGCAGTCAGGCTCAGGCTGGCCTTCAGCCGAACCAGCATCCCTGCCCAGGCTCTTCTCTGCCCTCACCCTCTTCCACTGAGAGCACCCCATGCCCCCATAAAACACTCCCTGGAATCCCTGGCCTGGGCTGTGCTGTCAGGACCTGGACTAAACCGGGCAAGGAAGCAGGTGTCCTGTGGGTGGCTCCATCCTAAGGTCGCCACGTCCCTCAGACCCTGGGGGAGCAGCAAGAGGCAGGTGTGCCTCCCTGCCCGGGCTGGGGAGCCCACACGGCCCCTCCCCTGAGCCGTCCCTGAGCTGAGCTCCCCCCCGTCCCAGGTGGGGCAGCCCACGCAAAAGCCCTGAGGCAGGAGGCCCAGGCACTGGGGAGGTGGGGGAGGAGGGTGTGCATCCTCGGCTTCTCCTGCTAGAGAGGGCTGTGGAGGTGACTGCTGCTGGGGGGTGGGGTGGGAGCGGCCTGCACCCGCGCCGGCTCCCTGACCAAGGCAGGGCTGACCCCCTCCTGGGCACGACCCCTCCCATGAAGTGGGGCAGGCGCCGTGTCCCCGCCACGCGCTTTACCTTGAAGCCCGCGGAGGTGGATTCTCCGGCGATCACGTAGCCCATGTTGAGGACGCCTCCTTCAATGGAGCATGTGGTCACGGACGCCACACCTGTGCCCACGAGGGCCAGGGAGAGCGTGCCTCTCTTGGTGATGACCTCCAGCATTTCCTGGGCCTGGGAAGACCACGTCCCTTAGCGTGGAGCAGACACGTGTCAGAGACAGGTGTGGGAGCTCCGTCTCGGAGCAGCTGGCTCAGGACGTGCGGGACCTAAGATGGCTTGGAGCTCCCTGGCCTTCTCCTCCTCCTTCCAGCAAGAGGCCAGGGCCCAGAAGGGCCAGCGGCTCCCCGGGCCTGGCTGGACGACTACGGGCCTGGGCACTTGGCGGGTGTGCAGAGTGGAGAATGGGGCTGTGGAGCCCCAGGGCTGCAGCCTGGCTCAGGGTGGGCCTAGGACTCACCAGGACGCTTTCACGGGGGGAGAAGGACAGCTTCAGGACCTGGGTCTCTCCAGACACCAGCTTGCGGATGGGATTCAGCAGGACAAAGGGGCCGTTGGGGTTCAGCACGGAGTACTCCAGCTGATGGCCCAGTGTCAAGGATGGGTGACAAGTACGGGGCCGCAGCCCTTCACCAGACGCCCCTGTCCCCCTGCAGCAGGCTGCCTGGGCCGGGTATGGACAAGGATACATCGAGATGCTCGGGGGAGATGTTCTGGATGGAGACCTTCTTTATGCCGCGTTGTCCTGAAACGGGGGAGTCAGGTCACTGCCCGGGCCTGGGGGTGGGGCATGGGAGCCCAGGCGGTGATGGGGTGCCTGGGTCCCTATGGGTGGGGGATGGCCGTGGAGGGCTGGGCCCGATCAGGACACACCTACAGCGATGTCGCCGAAGTCAGCGATGGTCTTGCCTTTGTCGGACGTCACCACAATGGATGGTGCTACCGCTGGACACCACAGCTCCAGGTACACGGTGTTGTGGGGACTGAGGTGGCGGGTAGCTGCTAAGGGCGGAGTGGGCGCCGCATGCCCCGCCCTCTCAGCCTGACCCCATGCTGGCCCGGCCCAGATCTGGGGGGCTGCAGAGCGGGGACGGTGACTTCTTGGCCAACCACACCCCACCCTGCCCAGAGCACCACACCTGAAGCTCAGGGGTTCCGTCCCCTTCCTGTCTTTGGTGTCACCACTGGCAACAACACAGGGGACCACAAACTTGTCAAACTTCCCCTGGAAAGATCTGGTCAGGGTGGCCTGCGCAGCCTGGTACTCCTGGGAGCTGCAGTGGAACCGGCAAGGTGCTCTCACACCCCTATCCCTAGGCTGCCCCCAGCGGCCCAAGAGGCCCCGCGCTGCCCTCCATGGAGGGGTCCATAAGGCCATGCCTGCTCCCCAGGGCCCTGGGCTAGAGGGTATGAGGTGGCAGCCTTGGGGAACCACGTTGTGGCCCAGGCTGTGGCTGTCCCAGTTTTGTCTGACCAGCTGGTTTTCTCACCCCTTCCCTGGTTGCTGTGGCGGCCTCCCACCTCCCCCAGGGTCTGGTCAGGCACCTAACCAGAGAGCCATGTTCCTGGAGCCACAGGCAAGGGTCCAGGGCTGGCAAGTGGCTCAAGCCCATTGGAGTTCTCTGGAGCTCGTTTGGCAGCTGGGGAGGCTGGGGTTGCTGAGCTGGGAACATGGGAATCAGGGGCTCAGCATCTCCCCAGCCCCTGGCCTGAGGTTGTTCACAGGGACCCTGGGCCCTAGGGCCCCAGGGGAAGGAGGTGAGCAGGTGCCCAGGAAGGCAGAGCCTGAGGGGACTCTTGGTTCCAGCTGTATCTGAAGCCAGCCCCACCCTGGCCTTCCAGCCACAAGGCTCAAAACAGCTCTGCTCCAGGTGGAGGAAGTCTCTGTGGGGGGCAGCCTTCTCTTGGGCCCACCTGGACATGAGGTCCTCTTTCTGCAGCTCCAGGGGCTGGGAGGCAGAGGCCTGGAACAGCCGGTCTCGGTTCTGCAGCCGCAGTATGGAGAAGGACTGTCTCCGCTGGTCCTTCCTCTGGGTGGCCGTGTCCTTTTGGGAGTGCGAGGTGGGAGGCCAACTGTGGGGCTGCGCCGGGGACTCTGCTCCCAGCAGACCACCCAGGGCAGGAACCCAGGGGCCCAAACTCCAAGCGGCTCCCTGGGGTCACCGTTGGCAGGTGCGGAGACCCCAGTGTCTGTCTTTACCATCGGGGAGACCGAGGCCCGGGGCGGGGCAGGGCGGAGGGCTGGCCGAACTGGGGGTCCTGGTCCCTGTGCCCTGCCCCCAGCCTCACTGCCCTGCCAGCAGGCTGCAGGTCCTGCCCCTCCTCCTGCGCTTGCTATGACAGCACGGGTGCTCAAGATCAGGCCCCAGAGGCCGTGGGGAGTCGCGGGGCTCTCTGCGTCCCCAGAGCAGCAGCAGGCAGGCCCTGGGCTGTGACTGCCCAGCTCTGTTGGACGCCCTTTCCCGGCAGAAGCCCGGCGGTGGCTGCCTCTCCAGACCTGAACTTGCTAGGATTCACAGGCCCCTTTGAGGTTCATCTGTTCCCCCTCCATTGTAAGGGCAAGCCCCCTGCTAACCAGTGCAGAGGGGCCCGGCCCACCCTCCCGGGACCACCGTCTGGGGATCCACCTCGCCTAGCGATGCTTTCAAGAGGGGAGGGAGGAGCCTTGCCAAGAAAAAGTGTTAACCTCTTGAAACAGTTCCACACACACAAGGCTGCAGAAAAGTCTGCCCGGGGCTCCTGACCCCCCGGCCCCCCAGCCTCAAGGCCGGTGGGGTCTGTTCCCAAGCCTTTGTGCAGCGGCCTGGTGTACAGTGGGCAGCACCCCCGTCTCCCGCCCCAGGCTCCCCCTCCCTCACCCCCCCATGTACCGATTTGGCCTCAGCTTCTTTGGTCAGGCCCTGTAAGGCTTCCTGGTGGATCAGCTCGCTGGTCAGCACGGGCCGGAAGGCCACCCGGACCAGGCACCTCTGTGAGGAGAGAGGCCAGAGGGCAGAGGGGCCCCTGTGGGTGCCCCCAGCACCCCGCTGCCGCCACCGCCAGGATCCCCTGGTCATGCTCTTGGACATCCTGGGGTGATACCCCATCTCTGCTTTGGGGTCTCAGCTTAGACAAGCCCTTCTGGAAGGTCCTTCCTGACCTCTGCCCCCGGAAGTTGGGGTGGCTGCAGACATGATCACCAAGCCCGTCTCACCACGCGGGGGGGTGGTCCTGAGATGGACCATCCCACTGCCCACAGGGCACGAGTGAGAAGGGGACGTTTGTGTTCAGCCACTGAGACTTGGGGGTGAGTCACTGCACCCTCACCTGTCCCCCTTTCTGAAGCACGTCCACCTTGCAGTCCACCCCCTGGAACGGCCCCGGGTCCCAAAGGGGGTTCACTCACCACGGCCTGCCCCGTGCTCAGTGCAGCAAGGGAGCAGGGTGGGTAACGGCTGCAGTAACCCCCTTGGAGAGGGGAACCATGACTTAAGCTGAATTTGCTCAGTTTACTAAAATGCATTTCAATAATCACTGAGACACTGCCAGGGTCCAGGGCCTGCATGTGCCCCTTCCCACTGAGTCCCCTCACAGTGGCTGTCACCCCTGACTCTTGAAGGTAAGGAATTCAGCTCAGAGGGGCTGTGATGGCCCCAGGGAGTCTCTGCCTCCAGGCCCGGGCTCTTTCTGCTTTATCAGCAAAAGCAGTGGTGGGGAAACCTTTCGCCAGTCAGCCGGTGGGCAGGCACCCTGTGCTCCTGGTGACCAGGCGCTGTGTGGCCTCTGTGCCCATCTGCTGTGAGATCCAAGGGCTGCACGCCCTCCCTCCAGCCAGGGCCGTGGGATCAGCTGCCTGTGGGTGCCCCGCCTCTGGGGCCAAGTTGGGCTGGCGGAGGGCACTGTGGCCTGCTTGGGTCTGATAAGAATCCAGGTTGATCTCCATGTCTGCTGTCTGGTTGAATCGCTGTGGTCCAGGGAGAGTAGAGACCGGCTCCCTGGGCTGGCCCCGCCCCAGCCCACCCGTGGGGCCCACACCCACCTTTCCTGGCCACACGGTGCCCACCGAGGGTGAGATGGTGATGGGGGAGTCTGAGGGCAGCAGGAACTCGAAAGATGTGGGCCCCACAGGGGATGCGTCCTCCAAGCTGATGCGGGGTACCGAGGGCGTCGGCGAGTTCACGCTCAGGCGGGAGTTGATGACGTACAGGGTGGCCACCGACGTGTCGTACAAGGAGGTGGCCGCAAACTTGACCTGGTAGTGGGACAGCTCCAGGAGCGGGTGGACACCCACAGCCCGGCACGTCAGCTTGAAGTACCTGGAAGTGACAGCGTGGGCAGCTCAGCTCAAAATTTTAGTAAAAATACTTTGTGCCCCTGTGCACATTTTAATAAGATAGTTAAAATTTTAATCACAAGTTTAAACATTTGCAAAGCAGGTAATTTCTGGCTTATTTCCTTAAATATTCACTGACATTTAAAAAATAAAACTGATAGGGGACTTCCCTGGTGGTCCAGTGGTTAAGACTCTGCGCTCCCAATGCAGGGGGCCTGGGTTTGATCCCTGGTCAGGGAACTAGATCCCACATGTTGCAACTAAAGATCCTGCATGCCGCAACTAAGACCTGACACAGCCAAATAAATAAATATTTTTAAAAACCTGATAACTTACTCTTTAAATATAAACATGGGAATCTATATACCATAGTGAATTGATTCTTTTTTTTTTGGCTGTGTTGGGTCTTTGTTGCTGCACGTGGCTTTCTCTACTTTCGGCTAGCGGGAGCTACTCTTCGTTGTGGTGTGCAGGCTTCTCATTGTGGTGGCTTCTCTTATTGCGGAGCAAGGGCTCTAGGCGCGCAGGCTTCAGTAGTTGTGGCTCATGGGCTCTAGAGCAGGCTCAGTAGTTGTGGTGCACGGGCTTAGTTACTCCGCGGCACGTGGGATCTTCCAGGACCAGGGCTCGAACCCATGTCCCCTGCATTGGCAGGCGGATTCCCAACCACTGCGCCACCAGGGAAACCCCGTGAATTGATTCTTGCCACCATCCGGTTTTAAGAGAAAAGAACAGATATTTGGGATTTTAACCAGTGGAAAATTTACAGTCCATGTTGCTTTGAACTCCTATTTCCATTGCACTCCTGCCATTGGATTTTATCCTAATTACCTATGTTTTAATGCTTTATGAGGTGATGTCGATGGCCCTATCATACTTGTCCGTAACAAAAATGTGTTCATAGGTTGAAATATTTCAATGTATATTTTTGTGTCCTGTGACCACAGGCTCTAAATGTTAAAAAAAATTCCTTCTGGGTGGAGATGTCATTGAGGTTATTGTTACAAGTTAATTAGTTGAAATAGCACAAATGTATGGAATGTGATAATCATTACATATAAAAAGTAAGAGCTGCTTGGAGTCACTTCAGGAAGGTGATGGAGCTGTTTCCCGGCTGGTTCAAGGGCCTGTGAGGGACGCGGCCTGTGGCCTTGCTCCATTGACCTGGGAACTTGGGCCCACCCAAGTCCCCTCCAGCCCCTTCCTTTCCATTCTTGTGACCACGCGTCTTCCGATGTCCCTCTGAGGAGCCCCCCGTGGCTCTCTCAGGTCCTGCTCCACTTTGCTGCAGGGAAAGACCGTCAGGTCCCATCACCCAGGCCCAGGTAGATGCTGTGACCTGCAGGCAGCAGGTTCACCCAGGACACCCAGTGCCACGTTTGCTGAGAAAACGCTTTTATCTCCGTGCACGCTATACATGTTTCTCTCCCTCTCAAAAACCACCGAGGTGAGATGAGCCCATCGGCGTGTGGGGAATGTTCTCCTGACCTCAGAGGCAGACATGCAACATGCCTGGCCTCCCTGCCTAGCTACGTGCGAGCCTCCAGCTTCTTTTATCTGGTCACACAGGCAGCTGGTGCCCGTCACAGGGGCCAGGCCAAGGGTACAATCAGCCCTGCTCTGGGGGTGTGCCTGACCTCCGGAATGTTATCACCACCATCATCATCACCGTCACCACCATCATCACCGTCACCACCGTCATCACCATCATGATCGTTACCATCACCACCATCATCGTCATCACCACCATCATAATCACCGTCATCACCACCTCCATCTCCATCACCATCACCATCATCCCCATCACCACCATCACCATCATCACCATCACCATCATCACCATCACCATCACCATCCCCATCATCCCCATCACCACCATCACCATCATCCCCATCACCATCACCATCATCACCATCATCACCATCATCACCATCACCATCACCATCACCATCATCACCACCATCATCACCATCATCACCATCACCATCATCACCATCACCATCACCATCATCCCCATCACCACCATCACC